GCCGGGGACTAGTTGGACGCAGTGGACGAAGCTACAGACTTGTCAGAACGCCGCACTCCGGACAGTGACTGGGTGCCTTCTGATGACGCCTGAGCACCACCTGCACAGCGAGGCCCAAGTGCTCCCTGTAAGGGAACACAACAAAATGCTCTGTAAGCAATTTCTGGTGGGGTGTCACAGAAGTGAACACCCTAACAGACCAGGCACGTCAGGGGGCACCTATTCGTGTACAAGGACGCAGTCCAACAATACGTAGACCAACCATTGGACCCGACGATATACAGACGAGCCATCAACGACATGCATAGAGGGTCAGTTACTACCTATCTCGACTCTATTCTTTCTCTATTTGAGATTCGATTTTTGGATATTTTTTTCGATTTTTCTTTTCTTGTACAGATTCCATTTTTGTTACATATTTTATTTAAAAAAAAAATATATTGTAAGCTGCACGCAACAATTTGAATTCATTAAATTTGAAAACTCGCAACTGCCTCCACCGCGATTTGAACTTGCGACCAACGTTGGTTGAGTCCGAGGTCTTCTCGCTGAGCTACTTTCGTATTGTACGAGTAGTGAGCATTTGCACATTTATACAGCAAGTTTCAACTGTCTCGCTCTGCATTCCTTTCGCACTAGTCCAGAGATAGTTCTGAGATATGTAGTTCGGAACTAGCGCTTTGCCAAACTGTCTCTAAATTTTACTGCAGGGCTCTTATGCATTCATAAGGTATAGGCTTTCGATGCTTTCTCCTGGTACGAAAAAACGCATGCTTGTTTCGTTGGTGCGTGGTAAACATTGATCCCTTATGGATTGACAGGCAGCTAAAATTTAAAAGAATGCATCTTTTTCGTAAATTTATTATAATCAGTAATTAAAAATTTTTGTAAACCATCCAACGTGTGTCAAGTAATTGTTTTGGGCATTTGGACGATCAATAGCTATCACACCATGTTGTCATGTGTCAATTCTGTCGACAATGGTGCATGGTGTCAAGTTAGCACTACATACCATTTTTTCTTAAAAAACGAGAGCTACAAATTTTGTCTTTCCACAACAAATTTACAACAAAAACACTAAAATTAATGCGGTAGTTAACTTTTCCAATTTCGAAAAGTGTAGTGCTAACTTGACACACGTTAAAATAAGACCAAACGAGAATTTTCCACTGATTTTTTTTAGTTTACTTTTGTTACAAATAAAACTTTTCTAAATAAAAGCTATCTTTACTGTTAATAGTTTTATCTAAATCTCAAGATCCCAACAACTATAACTCCATATGAAAAAGCGTAAGAAATGCTCAAGAAAACTTTATTGAGGAAAATTTTCTTCAGCAGTACGGAGATCTTAAGAAATTTGTTAAGCTTTCCACTAAGAGTTTCTAAAGTTTTGCATGAGGAAAAAGTAAGACCGCAGGCTTTGAAATATGCGATGTCGAAATTCCATGGACACTTATTATTCACACACACACGGAATAATAACAATTTTTTCTCAACCGTTACTTAAGAGATCCGTACTTTATCCATCAAAATAAACAATATATGCGCATGGTTGTTAAAATTGAGCTTGGAAACCCTGAATAAGTAAAATAAGCAATTCCAAGCAAACGCTTAAAATTGTCGGCCCTGGCGGTGATGTTAATTGGGCTCAAACTATTGACTAGTTTTTCAATTTATTTAGAAAATTATACCAACAAATGTATAACATATAAAATTGAGTAACTTGTTTGGGAAAAACGATTGTTTTGACTTGAGTTTATCGTCCGTATAAGTTTACCATATTTTCGCCTGCTCATTTACGAGGCCGCCGTACATTTCCGAGGCTTACTGGTCTATTCTGCACGTTACCGAAGATTTTTTAACCGGAAAATTTTACTACCAATATATGTTGCCAATTCAGCTATGAAGAATTGTGGAAATTCTGGCGTTGCATATTTTACCAGCGCAGAATAGACCTGTCAATGATAAAATAATAAAAGCTAACAGCTAATTTTTTATATGATTTATAACACATTTTTGTCGGTTTTAATAACTTGACCGCGGCTGCACCTCAATCACTCGTATGCACATAGCCAAGCTCTCTTGGCAGTTTTTAAACAAACAACAAACCTGCATACATACTTATGTTTATTACATACATATACAAGTACATACATGCATATGCATGTACATACACATACCACGTGAGAATAGTGCCTCAGCAATCGTCGGTTGGCGGATATGTTCGTGTCCATGTTGCGCGTTGCACTTTTCACTGCGCCAAGTGCGTTTCAGTGCGTTTTGTGCACCGGTGCGAACAATTAGGACGGACAGTAGGGCTCTAAAGTGTTATAAAAAGATTCGCGTAACCATTGGACTCCAAGGCTCTTCACGAATAAATTTACATACATACATAGATAGATTTGCGGCGAAACTAGAATTTCCTGTCAAATGTTTATTTTGATATTTATTTCTTAACGTCCAAAATAGAAAATAAATAATAATAATTTTCTTTGCTACAAATATTTATACAATACATACATACATGTGCATACTAAACGAGGCTAAATATAGCTGCTTTCACTTAAAATTTTTAACCATTGCTTTTGCATATTTTGCATAAAAGTTTGTGTGAGTTTGCGTGTAAAAACCTATTTGTCGAAAGCATATTCTTTTGGTTTTTTTTTCTTTAAGAAATGCATTGTGAGCAAATTTGATTGAACAAAAAAAATAGCAAGTGACCCAAAAAAAATCTCACCCACATAACTGTACTTAATTGACGTCAACTCTAATAAAATCTTCGAAACCTACAGCAATCTGATTGGTTGCGAATTGTTTATGCAATTAAAAGCTGATTATTGTTGGAAAATAGACTTGTAAACCAAATTCAATAAGAGTGTCTGATCCGCCTTATCAGTGCAGCTAGTATTTGAGATTGAGATCAATGAAAACCAGTTTTGAGAGGGCTTTGGCAAAGATGATTTAGTAAGTATAAACTGTAAATTGTGCAGCAACTAATACACTTCCAGTGTGCTCCTTTACCTCTTCAATTGGTTTTAAAATTCTTTTAAGTTTAAATAAATAATTCACAATAATAATGGCATGAATTCACACCATTTTTATCAGGAAGATCAAAAAAAAAATTCATATGTGATTATTGACTGGTGATTTTTGCGGTGATTTGTTAATAAATCTCAAATAATTTACGACATAGTGTTTAGATTTTTTCGCAGTTCTAATATGGCATTGGAAAGAGAGAATTTGTATTTTTTAAAGTAATCCCAAAGGACCCGATAGACTGGAGTGATAGAGGCTAACTTCCACCGATTGAAAAACCTACCAGTAGAAAGAGAGAGATTGAAGATGATACATAGACAAATCGAAGACCTGCACTGTTTTACAAAATAGGGGCAAGGCCGTCAGTGTCATTTTTTAGAAAAGAATCTGGATTAGAGTTAGTAATCATAATATCAGATTCTGTTGAGGAGAGTAATCCAAAAGCTATGCATTGTGACGTCCCGGGACAAACGGATGCGTCAGCAATTTCTTTATCTCTGGCAAAATAAGGTTTAAAAGATTAATAAAAAAAACGCGCAATCCTTTCATCGTAATTAGTCAAAATCCAATGAATACTTCAAACACAAAATTTGACTGATTTTTTTTTTAATATATATTTGTTGGTTTCCCTTCACAGAGTTCATTTTTGCTTGAATCGCTATTTAAAATGATTCTCGTTTTTTTTTTTTTTTTTTGAATGTGGTCCCCCATAGCCGCTGAATCCACAATACTCGTCGCTTAGGCTACCTCAATAAACAAGTTTTACAGAGATATTCAAATATTTTTACCATTATTATCGTAAACTAAATGATAGCAAATTTGTATGCATATTTCCCTCTTAACAGCTTTGATAAGCGTTTTGTTGGTAAGTCGTTGCGTTTCTCGGTGGTTGTAGCACCAACTATTGAAAAAAAGGCCCTCAGCAGGCACCGAGGTACCAACTAAATGCATTTTAAGTGCTTATTCGGAGTTTGATGTTATTATCTTTTGTGGAAACGTGGCTGAGTACCGACTTTTTTGATCAAGAGTTTTTTTGATGCCGAAGTATATAATGTCTTTCGTAAAGACCGAGATGCAATAAAAACGGGCTGCTCGCTTGGAGGTGATGTGCTAATTGCGGTACAACGGAGATTACGGGCTTGTCACGTAACTCTTTGGAATTTGGATAACATTTTGGATCAATTGTGTATCTGCAAGCTGTCTACAATTTCTAAACTGTTCGAAAGTATAGTGAAGGAGAAAATGTACTTTGCCGTTAAGAGTCTAATCTCACCTNACTGACTTTTTTGATCAAGAGTTTTTTGTTGCCAAAGTATATAATGTCTTTCGTAAAGACCGAGATGCAATAAAAACGGGCTGCTCGCTTGGAGGTGATGTGCTAATTGCGGTACAACGGAGATTACGGGCTTGTCACGTAACTCTTTGGAATTTGGATAACATTTTGGATCAATTGTGTATCTGCAAGCTGTCTACAATTTCTAAACTGTTCGAAAGTATAGTGAAGGAGAAAATGTACTTTGCCGTTAAGAGTCTAATCTCACCTCACCAGCATGGCTTTGTCGCTGGACGGTCTACGCTTACTAACTTAGCGGTCTTTAGTGAATGCTGCATTGACACGTTTTCTTTTGGGCTCCAAGTTGATTGTATATACACTGAATTTTCCAAGGCATTCGACAAAGTATCCCATTGCATTCTGTTGCGCAAGCTTGCCACGCTGGGTTTCCACTCTATATTCCTGAAGTGGCTGAATTCTTATTTAAGTAATAGGTGCTGCGTGGTCTCAATCGAGGGGGTATCTTCTACTCCATTTACTGCATCATCTGGCGTACCACAGGGTAGCATCTTAGGTCCTTCACTCTTTGTTCTTTTTCTTAATGATATAGGCAGCAGTTTTTCGTTCTCTAGGTTCTTGCTTTACGCGGATGCCCTAAAAGTTTTCTCTTCGATTAAGACTTCTGAAGATGCTTCTAGGGTTCAATTAGATATCAATAGATTGTACTTATGGTGTTGTCGGTCTCACCTACATCTCAATATTAGCAAGTGTTATCACGTAACGTTTTCCAAACTACGTAACGATGTGCAAACGTCATACAGTATCTCTGGTACTCCCCTTCAGTCAGTTTCTGAGATCAAAGACCTTGGTGTAATTTTCGATGCGTCTTTTTTATTCAATAACCACATCAATTTTATCATATCTAAATCATATGCTGCGTTGGGATTTGTTCGTCGAAATAGTTGTAATTTTACTGATCCCTACACTCTGAAATTACTCTACACGCCTTTTGTTCGTCCAAAGCTTGAATATGCAGCACACATCTGGAGACCTCATCATAAATTTGCCATCACTAGAATGGAGCGTATTCAAAAAGGAGTCCTTAAATATGCCCTTTCTTCCCTCAATTTCTCCACTCCCATCCCTCCGTACAATTCCCGCCTCCTTTTGATTAACCTTAAGTCCCTCGAAAGCAGAAGGACTATTCTTTCCTTGTCTTTTGTGCGTGGCTTG